TTTCTAAACTCTCTCCCCAAAAAAATTTTTGAAAATTTTTCTCCCAAAACCAAACTAAACACACTCTACGTGTCCATGTAAGACTCACCATACCCAGAAAATAATGGGACAGTATCAACAAAAAGAACAAGAAAAAAGGATTGTATTGTGGTTAAAGGGTGCCTCTCCCATTTAAAAGTCATATAATAGTATTGGGACGACTCCTCAAAGCAAGTTTGGTATGTGCTTTCAAGTAGTCTGTTTCTGTTTGCCTTTTCACTGATGGAGTTCACAAAAATATATATAAACAAATAAATATTGGTTCATACCACCAACTGTGTGCAAATGCATTAGATGTTAACTTCTCTCACTCTCAAACCTCAAATTTTTTATTTCACTCAACACTTGTAAGTGTTTACATAGCATGGGTTCTGAAACAATTAAATGCATGCATGACATATAAGCATCACAAATTCACAAATAACTGAGATAAAATGCAAGAACAGTTAATATGAAGCAAAGGCCAGTGGTGTTTGGCCACTAGTAGAGCATTTTTTTCCCTATGTCAGGAAATTGTTCGATATACCTGGTATATACACGTCTCATGTACGCAACAGCAGTGGCTACAACATGGAGAAGGGGGTTCAGAAGCTTGATTTCAAGGCTGGTGGTGTCAATTCATTGCTTCAAATCAATGATCTCAAGAACCCTCCTGGACCATCGAAGAAGGAGCTTCGCGTCGCTACAAAGCGAGCTGTTGGGCTTTTGTGCACTGGTATGTGGGTGAGGGTATGGAGGAAGGAGAGAGAGAATTAGAAAATTTGGGTTTGTCCAGCGGACGGCCAAGGTGAGGCTGCCGCCCGCCGGTGAAGCAGAATGACTAGGTTCTTAAGGTGTGCCGGACATGATGGCGAGGCGTGAGATTACCTTGGCTTGCGCGCCCGTTTTGTCGTCTGGCGTCAAGTGGCGCGCGATGCGCGTGTCTGCCTCTTCATCATGGTCTTTATAAACCGAAGCGGAGGCTGAGGCTGAGGCTTGGAAGCATAACAAACCAGTTGAAATCTCTTCGTTCTCTGAGAGCTTGTCGCTAAGAGCTGCAAATCTTGAAACACTCTGTAACCAATCCTTCTCTGAAACTGTTACAGCCATGATAAATGGTAAGGTCATGGGTCCGTCCTCCTCGGCGACTCCACCTCCATGGTCATCGGCCTTCTCCTCTATTGATCTGCACATCCTCAGTCGCCACCATCGCTCCAACATGATGATGTATGGCACCGACGATACACATCCAGATCCAAATCTAGATCTATCGAATCTGTCATCTCTCTCTTCAGAAAAGATGGCGACCTCACTGCGAGCTCCAATGGCTACTTCAGTTCCTTCTTCGTCTTCATCATGGTCTTTATAAACTCGTTCATTTCAGACCCTATGTGCCATAAATAGCAGAAACGGAGCTAAAATTCCGATGCCTCCAGTGACTCTCTCTCTCAGCCCATCAGGACAGACTTTGATATAATTTTGAAGACAAGCTTTGCGGATTTGTGACTGTTATTGTCGTTGTTGCTGTTGTTGTTATTATCATGATGGCTGCTGCTATGTATTCCCACCCCTTCAATCTCTGAAAATGGAGGACCGAGAAATCACAGTAACCCCCCTCAAGGGTGAGGAATAGAATATGAAGTGGTTCTGCAATAGTGGGGGTGTTCTAGGGCTTGTTCCCACTCTCTCTCTTCCTATCTCCTCTCACTTTCCTGGACAATATCCTGAGCACTTTGTCTCCACTCACTTTGACACATTCTTTTTCTTTTTCTTTCTTTTTTTATTTTCCTTTTCCTACATCAATATCTATATATATATTTTTTTATTCTCATCCTCCTTCCTTTTCTTTTTAATCACACCCATCCACCGCCCAAATTTTATTTTTTATTATAAAACTTAATTGGTGCTCTCGATTCGTCCTGTTCCCCACTCCATCCTTTATTATTTTTATTCATTATTATATATTCATCATCTACCAAATGCTTATCATTTCTCACCATCCTCCAATTTTTTTTATTATTCGATCCCCTTGACTTTTCCCAACACAAAAAAAAAAAAAAAAAAATTTCAATCATTCCACAAACTTTGTTGTTCTCATGCCGGGGATCAACCCCGATCACCATTTTACACCACAAAAAAAAAAAAAAACAAAACAAAACAAAAACAAAAAACAAAAAACAAAAAAAAACGCACATCCAACACCCACAACAACAACGGCTTTGTTTTTCTTTTCTGCAGACGGCCACACACCGACCTCACTTCCTCTACTCTGCCGCCGGTCTCTTCTTCTTGCCTCCGTCCTGAGCGGCCCTTGACGGTGTTGCCTCCGTGTTTCCCACTCCACTGGGCATGATCACTACTCCCTGCTCCTCCACTGCAGCATATGGCGGACCTCCAAATCGGAACATCACGGTGGCCTTCCACTTCAGCTCCTTATTTTCCGCCTTTAGCACACTTATCTCTGTTCGCGCATCCTTATACATGCACTGGAGCAGAGCCAGTTGGGCGTTTAACTGCTGCACCTCATTTGTCCTACTCTGCAGCCGGTGCGACAGGTTTGTGACCGCCGTCATGGTCTCCACACATGACTTCAAAGTATACTGATTGGCCTCAATATCAGTTTGCACCGCCATTTTTTGCTCCACCGACCGCATCGGAAAGTTCAACGGAGCAAAACCAGAGGTGTTTGGTTGAGGTTCACTGGCCACCGCCCCAGTTATTTCTCTTGTGGACTCGTTCAGTTCTGGAAAGAGCGTGAGCAGACCACGGGAAGAGGATGCCATGTTCTGGGTAGCTGGACGGGAAGAAGAGGCCATGTTATGGGTTGCTGAGTGTTTCAGAGAAGGGTTGATTACAGAATGTTTATAGAGTGTTTCAGAATGCCAATGTTCAGAGGTTTCAGACTGGTTTGCACAGCCTCCGCCTCAACCTTGGTTTAAATAGCTAGGGCCGATACGCGCATCGCGCGCCACTTGACGCCAGACGACAAAACGGGCGCGCAAGCCAAGGTAGTCACGCGCCTCGCCACAGTGTTGGGCACGTCTTTTGAGGTATTGGGCACGCCTTTTGACGGCGCGACTTTTGAGGGCTCGATATATATATACATGTATATATTTGGGCAGCCTATATACACCATCATACAGTGTATTTTACATGGGTCCGACAAGACTCTGTAAACTGTCCCGACATTGATTCCGGTTAGCTCCTTCATGGGTCCGACAAGACTCTGTAAACTGTCCCGACATTGATTCCGGTTAGTTTCTACAAGGGTCCAGCAAGACTCCGTAAACTGTCACAACAACTGTCACAACATTGTCTGCTACAACGGTCCGACATGACCCCATAAACTGTCTTCTACATCGGTCCAACACGAGCCAGTGTCTTCTACATCGGTCTGCCATAACCATACAGTCTTCTACAACGGTCTGACACGACCATACAGTGTCTCCTATCCATTTTTTATTTTTCAGATTATTTTCTTGTTTTTATTACTCTCTCCAAACTCAAGTTGGTTAGTTTCTATCCCCCTTGAGTTTGCGGGGGGCTGTTAAAACCTACCATCACCTACTCCACCTACTACACCTACCACCACCTACTACCACCTACTACACACCTACCACTACCACCTACTACCACCTACTCCACTACATCTCCTATAAAAGGAGTCCCTCACCATTTGTAATATATAACATACATCAATCAATAATACATCATTTTTATCAATTTTATATACACATTTGAAAGTGAACTTTTATATTTGTTCTCTCTCTCTCTCTCTCTCTCTCTCTCTCTCTCTCATGGTCTTTACTCTTGAGTGAATTCCAAGTTTTAATTTTAGTCAGACCTCATGTATGATAATTTTTCTTCTTACAAGTTTCATGTTTGTCTATTTACTTTCACTTTGTATTCATACAGATATTTTTCTTTCTGTCCATGGTGATTTTATCATTATATTGGCATTTTTTTTTCTCCTTTCTACTTTTAAAATGTATTATAATTCTGCCATTTTTGAATTTTATGCCGATTTTTTTGCTTTTGTATTATAGTTTCAATCGTATCGCTTTTCAAATCGCTCTTCCTAATTTGCTTATATTTTGTAGCATTGTAATAATTTCGATACTTTTTTTCTTTTAGAGTTGAGATCAGTGTTTAGGTTTTGCTCCATCTTTTTCTGTCTTATATGTAAATTCAAAGAAAATACAATACTATAGTGATTGATTACAGTAGTAATAAACCAGTTGCTTTTGCTATACATATGACCTGCCCTTTGAATGGTCCGAATACATTCATATTTGGCAATTCTTAAAATTCAAAGGCCGGTTGGTGTTTTGAGTAATGTTGATTGTGCTGTATTCATGATCTTAACTCTGTTTAGAAGAGAAAACCAAATGTTTTGTTGGTGTAGCATTTCTTTATGTATCTGTAATGCTTGTTTTCATACTGAAAGTTGAGTTAGCTTTCTGTATGCGGGTAAAGTATTAGAATTTGCCTGAGAATATGTATTCATTGGTTACTTTATGATCTTTTGCTCAGACTCGAAGGACTTATTAGCAAATAGATAATAGGTTACATTACGTGTGTATGAGAAAATTGAACTGTGGCATTCTTTTAAAAATGCATATGTTAAACACGGATGATAGTCTGTATTTGTAAGTATTATGAGGCATGTGATTGATTGATGGCTCACTGATCAAAAAATTGTAATTTCAGGTCGGTACTCTAACTGGAGCAGAGGCATCACTAGGTTTAGTACCGCTGTTGCATTCGAGGAACCAATCACACCGCCTGTTAAACTTTTTCAGGAAAGATCACGAATAATGTTGCGGTTTGCTGATTTGCTTGAGAAGCACAGTGATCATATTGCGGCTCTTGAAACTTGGGATAATGGGAACAGGCTGCAAATGAAGAAATACCATTGGTGTGGTAAATGGTAGCTAATTTGGCATGGTAGAAATTAGCATATATGCTAATGATCACAAGGCTGACATTTTCAGTTTCGGAATAGTGCTATGGGAACTTTTAACAGGAGAAGTAAGCCTTTCTGTGTTTTGTTCTCATTTGTAGTTCTGTTGGTATCATCATCATCATAGTAACCATCTTTACATTGTATGATATTACTCAATATGCCAGCTTCCATACTCGTACTTGACACCTTTGCAAGCAGCTGTTGGTGTTGTACAAGAGGTATTGGTTTTTTCTTTTTCTTTTTTTCTTTATTTTTTTTATTTTTTTTTTCTAAGTAAAAATATCTAAATTCAGTAGTGGAGATTTTAGGAAATGATAACTCACTTTTGTTGAAATTGTTATCAGGGTCTGCGGCCTACAATTCCGAAGCACGCTCATCCAAAGCTTGCAGAACTGCTAGAAAAGTGCTGGCAACAAGATCCAACTCTAAGACCCAATTTCTCTGAAATTATAGAGATTCTGAAGCAGATTAGCAAGGAGGTAGGTCACTTGCCTGGGATAAGTTTGCTCTACATTGAACCATAGTTTTAAATAACGGTATCAATTTATGTATCGGTGTTGGCAACACGGTTGTATATCAGCCAATATGAGACAATATTGCCCTGATATATCAATAAATAATAATATCGAAAGTCCAAAATTTCAATACGACAAGACAATATGTAATGGTTGATATTTAAAACCCTAGACATTGTTGAAACAGGTTGGAGATGATGGAGAGGGGCACAAGGATAAATCAATAGGCGGATTCTTCTCAGCACTCAGAAGGGGCCATCACTAAAGTCCGGAATATATGATCCTGTGGGCCATTTTCCAAATTTCAATTCCATTTTCTCATGTTGATCAGCTCATTTGTAGTTTTAACTTGTATTTTTATTTTATTTATAATATAGGAGCTTACCTCGTAAATTTTGTGTATTTAGGTTTCTTTCTTTTTCATTTAGATTTTTTTTGTCCCCATCGTAATTTGTTTCATTGCGCAAGTTGCACCATATGTTGAAATGGCTGAGTATGGTTGTAACACGAAAAATGTTTGAGAGCTTTAAATTGGGAGCACTGAAGGAGCTCTAGAGAGTGGGTTCCACTAATTGATATAATGTTTTGATCTTAAATTTTTTTTTTCTCTTTTTTTCTTGAATTTTCACCTTATTAGTGGTCTATTAGTGTTCCCAAATTAGTGGGATGTATCATTGTTGATTGTAACACTGTCCATGTCTCTGCCACACACAGTAAAATATATAAAACCTCATATATTTTATGTTTACTTGGGGAATGAAATGATAAGGGTAAATTACATCACTGGTCCTCTAATTCCTTTAATTTGAGCAAAATTTTATTGGTAAAATTGCAAATCAATTGAGTTTTCACAAAATATTTACAAATTTATGAAAAAGTTTATAACTTTAATTATTAAAGTTTATAATACTTATCATTGATTTGATTTTTTTTTTTTTTTTTTTTAAAATTTTTTGAAAACCTACCTTGAATTGCAATTTTTTCAATTTTATTTTGGTTGTCATAGTTTCAATTTGAATAATTTGATCTCTATACTTTTAATTTTGTTGTAATGTTCCTATGTCCTGTAGTGTCAACATTTTGAGCAAAAAAATCACGTGCAAAATTAGAAGGATCAAAGTAAAATTGAAAATAAATTATAAATATTACTTATGTAATATATTTATTACTTCAATGATCTCTATAGTTTGTTTTGAATTTGATTTTGATTTATTTAATTTTGCACATGTTCGTATTTTGTAAATAAGAGAGAAATTACATTACAACAAGATTAAATGTAAGATTAAAATTGTTCAAATTAAAACTACAGAAATTAAAGACACTTCACTTCACATTGCAACCAATGACATTTGCTTCTTGAGGCGAATCCTCAAGTTGCTCGGTTCTACCACTTATATATATACTAGTTTAACAAGACTCGTGCTCGTGTAAGGCACGAGTTATTATTATAGTATATTTAAATTATATTTTGATAATTTTTTAAAAATTAAAATATTATTCGATGAAATTGAATAAAATAAATCATTAGATATATAATAGAATTATGTGGTATGATATGTATTATTTTTTGATTTGTTATACAATCAATGATGTAGATTCTAATTTTATTACCATATCATTTTGGCTGAATTTATGAGTCTTAACATTTCTTGTGAATTTATATAAAAAAATAAAAAATTTAGGGACACTTTTTTATAAATCCCTTTTCACCTACATATGTTCCATTTAATTCACATTATTTTCTTATATTCTAATAAGTCCTATGGGTGACATAATTACCAAAATACCCCTAATAATATTCACATTTACAATGTGAATGTTCTGTAATGTGAATGTTCCGTAGTGTGAATGTTTCCTGATGTGAATGTTCGCACCGTCAATGTGAATGTTCATACTGTCAATGTGAATATTCATTGTAAAATATGAATATTCACATTACCAAATTGCTAACCGTTCAAAAAATATTGGTCAAAATATCCATAAAATACTTTAAATATGAGAATTAGAATTTGGTAAATCAAATGTTCAAATAATAGGACTTATTAATAATATTTTATAGACTAATTGGAATACAAACATTTGAAATAAGATTTTCTAATAAATCTCCCAAAAATTTATGGTATGTAGTTTTTCTCAACAGATAAATATAAAACAAATACTAAGATAATTCTTCTATCTAAAAAAAAACTATTAAGATAATTCATTGAACTAATAAATGATATGAACGTCACAACTTTCTAATTCCAATATTATCCTTATTTTATAACTACGGTTTAAATACACTAAATTTGTAATTGCAATCTGTAATTTCAAGCACACGTGGGTGTGCACACCTTCTAATATATATATACACACACATGGAGGGTTATTCATAGGACATGTAAAATATATTGAGAGAGTGATATTGAAAGAGCAAGTAAGCTCTGTGATTCAATGTATTGAAACTGTAAGAAGAGGCTCCATTATATAGGAGCTGCTATACAACATCATCATAAGAGAAAAACATATAAAACAGAAAAAGGGCCGAAAGCAGATAGCCGAAAGCAACCGAAAGAATCCTATGCCCTATGCTCTGTCCTATAGTGATTACAGTAATATATTCTACTATATACATTATACATTAACATATATTATACTATATACATTAACAGCCCCCCTCAAACTCAAGGAGGCTAAACATTAACCAACTTGAGTTTGGAGACAAGTTCAACGAAGCGGTCAGGAGAATGAGCTTTGGTGAAGATATCAGCAGGTTGATCAACAGAAGAGATCAGATGGAGATGGACAATACCACGAGTGACGTGTTGACGAATAAAATGGCAGTCAATCTCAATGTGCTTGGTGCGATCATGAAAAGCATCATTGTGAGCAATTTGAAGAGTACTGTGATTGTCACAAAAAGAGGTCAGTAGCACCAGAGGGGGTAACACCCATGTCAGCAAGAAGCCAAAGAAGCTCCTGAGTAGTATCAGCAAGAGCACGGTATTCAGCCTCGGTACTGGAACGAGCAGTAAGAGATTGTTTCTTGCTGTGCCAAGAAATAAGAGAATCACCCAGAAAAAAGCAGAACCCAGTAGTAGAGCGGCGGTCAGTAGGATCTCCAGTCCAATCAGCATCGAAAAAAGCACGAAGCTGGAGAGAGGAGCGGGCGAAATAATGAAGACCATGAAATATGGTGCCTTTGAGATACTGAAGGATACGAACTAATGCAGCATAATAAGGGGTACGAGGAGCCGACATAAACTAGCTGACAATATGAATGGCATAGGCAATATCAGGACGAGTAACAGTGAGATAGACAAGACTGTCAACTAGCTGACGATATAGGGTAGCATCAGAGAGAATAGTGTCATCAAGAGGTGTAAGACAACTCTGAGGCTCCAGGGGAGTGGAGGCAATCTTACAATCCGTAAGACCAGCACGTGTGAGAAGATTAGAGGTATACTTAGCCTGAGAGAGAAAAGAACCCGTAGAATCATGAAAGATTTCAAGACCCAAGAAATAATTGAGAGGACCAAGGTCTTTCATCTCGAAATGATGGCTAAGAAACTGTTTAAGGCAAAGAATACCATCGATATCATCACCGGTGATAATAATGTCATCCACATAAAGCAAAAGCAGGGTGGTCCCTTGAGCTGTTTTTTGGATAAAAAAAAGCATTATCATAAGAGCTGGAGGTGAAACCACATTTCAGAAGAAGAAGAAGAAGAAGAAGAAGAAGAAGAAGAAGAGGGAGATGGAGGGGCGACTGGAAATGAGGGGCTGGCCAGCGGCCAGTGGAGGTGGTAGCCGGAGTTGACAAGGGTTAGGGTTAGGGTTTGAAAATTAGGATTAGAAGATGAGGGATAAGGGTAAAAGTGAAATTTTATGTTGGGATATAAATGTTAATAAAAAAAAATGGAAGAGGTAGGGGTCCAAAGAAAAATGGTAAGTGTTAATAGAAGCACTCTTATTCATCAATTTAATAAATAAATGAGTTAAGAGGTTCATGTTTAGTCATAAACTAAGACAATTCTCTAATGATTAAGTCAACCAAGTTGAGATAAATGTTGAGTCAATTAGATTATTTCACTTTTACTGTTTAGCACAACTATAAATCCTTAAGCAGACTCCTATATATTTTACTATAAAAAATATTATATATATATATATATTCAATAATTTAATAAATAAATGAGTTAAGTGGTTCATGTTTAGGTATAGACTAAGATAATTCTCTAATAATTAGGTCATAGCCAAGTTGAGACAAATGTTAAGTCAATTAAATTATGTCACTTTTAGTGTTTAGCACAACTATAAATCCTCAATAATTTTAAATGACATGGATAGGCCCACAAAGGCCATGAACCACTATAAACAACCCAAGCCCATCAATCGGGGCCCAATACATAACCCAGCCAATGGAGTCCAGAACAGCTGGAATCCAATATGGCATCAAGAACCAACGGCATTCAGGCACGTGGCGGGTATCCGTGGAAGGGTCAGTAAAAAACAGAGAGGGTGAGAGAACGGACAAACGGAAGAGAGAGAGAGAGAGAGGAAAACATTTTGTGTTCCCAAAAGACCACATGACGAGAGATACAAAGTTGCTGGGAGAGAGGATCCCAACAACGATACCCCTTATGTTCAATACCATACCCCAAGAAGCAACAAAGGCGGGAACAGGGTTCAAGTTTGATACGTTCATGAGGTTGGAGAAAAACAAAACAGACAGATCCAAAGACCCTAAGGTTGGTGTAGGGGGGACGGGTGCCATACAGACGCTCATAAGGAGTGTGATTATGAATGACAGGTGTAGGGATACAATTGATAGTGTAAGCAGCAGTGAGAGCTGCCTCTCTCCAAAAATGTTTCGGACAAGAGAAAGACAGAAGGAGAGCACAAGTAGTGTCGAGAATATGCCGATGTTTCCGTTCAGCACGTCCATTTTGTTGAGACGTACCGGGACAGAAACGATGAGGTTGAGTACCATGACTCTGAAGGAAGGAAAGAAAGTCAAAATCTTTATATTTCATGGCTTATCGGAGTGAAAAAGCTTAATATTTTTAGAAAATTGTGTTTTAACCATTGCAGCAAAATTGTAATAAAGTTGTTTGAGCTCAGAGCGATTTTTCATAAGAAACAACCATGTAAAACGGGAAAAATCATCGATAAAAACAACAAAATAGCGTGCGCTGCCTATAGTGGGAGTAAGAGAGGGTCCCCAAATATCAGAATGGATGAGATCAAATAGTGCAAGAGAAACAGAGTCACTTTTATTAAATGACAAAGCAGGTTGTTTGGCAAGTTGACAGGACACACAATCTAAAGCATCAGAACTTACGTGACCTAAATGACTACTAGAAATTAAAGATTTTAAACGACCAATAGAAAGATGGCCTAAACGACAGTGCCAAAGCTGAAAATGAGATAAAGGAGGAGCAGTGGTAGGAGCTGTAATCTAAGAGGAATCTGAAACATGAAGATGGATGAGTTCGTAGAGACGTCCATGCTTACGGCCTATCCCAAGAGTTTGCCCCGTCCGAGGGTCCTGCACCAAACAACCAGTATGGGAAAAGGCAACAGTTAAACCATGCTCACATAATTGACTAATGGAGATAAGATTTAAAGTAAGAGCAGACATAAGATATACATGGGATAAAGATAAGTAAGAGGTAGAAACAGAACCAACATGACTTACAGACAGAAGAGACCCATCAGCAGTATGGATAGAAGGAACATAAGGAGTAGAAGAGAGAGGAGTAAAAATATTAGGGTCAAAGATCATGTGATTACAACAAGCGGAGTCAAAGTACCAGGAAGTGTTACCTGCGGTGACAGACAAAGCAGTAGATGGAGGAGTACCGGAATTCTACCAAAAATGTTGAAGCATGGCTTCGATATCTGTTTGAGAGAAGACTGGAGTGGAAGGATCTATAGGGACAGAGAAAGGTAAATCCTCTGAGGCAGCAGCAGCAGTGTGTTGAGCAGGCATTGGTTTAAACAGAGTCCCAGAACAGTGAGAGTTGCTGCGGGAAAAATTCCCGAGGGAAGGTCCATTGCGAGAGACACGGGCAGGATTGCGGAAACAATCTTGCTGGAGATGACCAGGACCAGTCTTGTTGCAAAACCGACAAAAACGAACTGGACAATTAACCAGAAGATGAGTCGACGGAAGACTGCGGTTTTTACAGTAGTTGCAGATAGTGGACCTATGTGGTGAAGGTGGTGAAGGAGAACTCCGAATCTGGGGAGTAGCAAGAAGAAAGTCCACAGGGTGCAGATGGAGAGTGCCAAACCTGGTTTCCTCTTACAGTAGTTCAGAAATTACTTACTCAAGAGTGGGTAAAGGAGTGCGATGAAGGAGAGATGCGCGTACTAGCTCAAAACGGGAAGTAAGAGCCATGAGAAACTGAACCAAGCGCTGTTGGTCACGGTAAGTAGTAAACAAGGCAGCATCCTTAGTACAACCCCATGGAGGTTCAGAAAGAGCGAGCTGATCCCAAACATAATACATTTGGGAGAGGAAATCATTAATGGTCTGAGTTGTATCTTGGCGCATACGGTGAAGATGACTCAGAAGCTAATATTGGTGAGCAAGGCCAGTAGTCTGATAGCGTTCTTGTAAAAAATCCCATATGGCCTTGGCTGGAGAGGAAGCAGAGTCAAATTGAAACCGTCCAAACTGAAGACTGATAGATGTAATAGAAGTATTGTGAAGCCAAGTGATGATCTGATAGTTTTTACTATCCCAATCGTCCAGACGGTCAACATATTTGGCAACGGATTCCGTGGTGGCTGCGGATTCCGTGGTTGCTTGGATGAGTTTGTACACATCCCCAGTGATGATGCGCCAAAGTTTCTTTCCTTTGAGGAATCCAGACATAGTTTGTGCCAATAAGACATAGTTAGTCCCATCAAGAACAACAGAAATAGGGTGGTTAGAGGAGTCCGGGCGATCCATAAAGGAAAATTAGTACTATCGAGGTAGAATCTGAAAAATCTGAGGGCACCAGTGAATGCAGAAGGTTCAAATTAGTGAGGAATCGGACTGAACCGGCCAGAAAAGACAAAAAATAAGGGTGAACCGGCCTGGGAAAGGTGCTGAGCCGGTTTGAGCTGGGCCAGCTGGAGCCGAGGGCACAGGTGTGTGCAAGTGGCGCGAGTCGAAGACGAAAGTGGCGCGAGCCGAAGACGAAAGCGGCGCGAAGCGGCGCGGCGCGAAAGAGGGACGCGTGCGGGAGAGCTGGCTCAAGCAGACAGTGTAAACGGCTTGCGTACGCGTGTAGCGCGTGAGAGTGAGGTGGCTCAAGCGACTGGTGGACGCGTGGAGCACGTGGGACGTGGAAGGCAGAAGCGGTGACGCGCCGACGACAAATGTGGCGCGTGAGAGCGCATATGACGTCCGATGATGATGAATCTGGTAGCGTTGGATTCAGAGTGAAGAAACGAAGGTTCTGTTGTGTCCAATCTGTAATTTAGATAAGGACGAGATATGCAACAATCTGTTAAACAGAAAAGGTGATGCAGACGAGATACACAGCAACGGAAGAAGAGACTAGGAAAAACACCATACCATGTAAAATATATTGAGAGAGTGATATTGAAAGAGCAAGTAAACTCTGTGATTCAATGTATTGAAACTATAAGAAAAGGCTCCATTATATAGGAGCTGCTATACAACATCATCATGAGAGAAAAACATATAAAACAGAAAAGGGGTCGAAAGCAGATAGCTGAAAGCAACCGAAAGAATCCTATGCCCTATGCTCTGTCCTATAGTGATTACAATAATATATTATACTATATACATTATACATTAACATATATTATACTATATACATTATTATACTATATTAACAGGACATAATCGAAGTCGATTCTACATGACAGCCTATTGATAAATAGATCAGAAAATCAAACCAATAAAACAACCCAATATATGCATACAGACGCTTTGAATTGATCTATGGTAGATGCTTCAAACTGATCAAAATACATGGACTGAGACGTTGCTGTATCAAAGTTTTGAACTGATCGATTGTCAGAGAGAGGGGAGAGGGAACAACTCCGCTGGTCGGGCAATAAGAGATAGGGAAGTGAATTTTGCCCCAAAGAAAATAGGGGGAAAAAAGTTGCATAGCACAGTAATAAAACTTGAATTCAAATATCTTATCTAAGTAAAGAAGCGCCCTTAGTCTTGAGGTATCCCTAGTAGGCTAGTTTCATCTTTTGGCACAAGTTTCACATTTCCAAGCCGCAACTATCCAAAAGGGATTTTTTTTTTTTTTTTGGAGGGGGGTTTAAGTCAGTCATATTATAACCCAAAAAGAAATTTATATAGTGAATTTTAATACACATCTTTTGTATGGAAAACAAATATAAACAAAAACAAACTACTCTTTCAAAAGAAACAAGCTAAGCCAATAAAAGACAAACACAACATACATAACAAAAAAGATTCAAGTTTTCCCTTTAGCACTCTTCAAGTTATAAAGTTTCGCTTTGCGTTGTAGTCTCCTCATTATTTGGGTCACCTGGAGATGGACTCCCTCTATTTTTTAAGCTCTTCATTTGGCACAATAACTCTTAATTTAATTCTCCATTCCCTAACACTCTCATATCACTAGATTCAAGGACATTAAAGACATTAAATGCTGAGAGGCTGAAAGACTACATCTCTCTCTCTTTGTTTATCACTGTTGTTGAACCTTACCAACCATCTCTCCCCAATCCAAAAGGTTACACCTCAAGTTAGCTGTAATAGTTTTCTTATTTTGGTGAGCGAGTTGCAGCAACTAGGTGGGGTCAGACCAGCATCTCTAGGCTAGGTTTCTATAATTTGATCGAAGCCCAAAGAGAGCTACATTGCTTCATTGAATAAAAGCTAGGAAAATGATACATCCCCTAAAAATGATACACTTGGCAATGAAAAAAAAAAAAAAGAAAAGACATAAACATCAATATCATTGTAGGACTCACCCCTATTAGAACTCATTAAAGCTCCTTTATTAGAACTCCAATCATTTTTCTAAAAGCTAATCTAAGTACACTGGTGCAAAGCACGAACAGGACTTATAACTGTTCTTTCTTTTTCTTTTTCTTTTTTGGTAAACAGGACTTTTAACTCTTCATGTGTGAGAAAGTTGCTATTATTTCCTTCTTTTTACAAATGAGACCTAACAGTCTCCTACATATCCCAGGATCTGTAGTATCTGTTGTAAACCTTTTACCAGAACGTTAATTTACTACATTGGTTGAGTTTTGTACATCAAACGCCTATTTTGTGCAGAAAATGGCAGCATTTATGAGACCGTGGGAAGTCCAGTCTGTGTCCAAGCAGCATACCCACCAGCAATATCTGTAACACCTGTAAAGGCCTGCATGAAAGAATTGAAGATTCCGTCAGTTCAGCAGAACTTGGATCAAATTTGAAGCCAACTTGAGGAATTGATGAGCCGAGTGCAGCTATGTGAAACTGAAATATATTTGCTCAATATACAGATGCACAAAGGAATACGACTCAAGAAAGTGTAAGACTTCATTTTCTTCTCTGAATTATACTAGTTTGATCAAAACCATGAATAAATCTAGTAGAAACCTTGAGATTCATATTAAGTGCAAGTTCATGATTTCAATGAATCATCACAAATGGACAAATGGTCAAATGTGCAATGCTAACTAAAAACTCGTAGGAAATCTTCAGGATTTGCAAGCCATCTGTGATTTGGAAGGCTTCACCAAACTAAATAATTCTAGACTGTCAAGCCAATTTTTCGCTCAAATGATCCATGAGTAGGTTAGAATAAGTGTGCATGCAAATATTGAAACCAAAAAAAAAAATCATTAGACCTGAAATATTATTACAGTAGTCCAAAATTGAGACAACATGTTCAAATTGTCATAGGATACCATTGAAACTAGTATTTTGATTCAACCAATTGGTAATGGCAACATAATATTTTGTAAACTTTCATCCAAAGAGATATGTTCCATGGTTATCATTAACCAAGTTCACTTTCAATACCTATTTCCAAAGATTTCTACTAGGTTGGTGCATTAATGCTTCACTAATATTGTAAGGACTAACGCTTCACCTGAACCTAAAAACTTAGAAAGCCTTGAATGCTAAAGAATAAAGATTTTCTAGACTAATTCCCAATAGTTTAAACATTAATGATTAATTCTTCTTGCACTTGACATGAATGATTAATTCCCGTTAGTTTAAACATTAATGGTCTTTGTCACACATCGATGGTCTTGGTGAAGAAAATGACTTCTTGTTATATTCCAAACAAACAGAAGTTCCTGTCAAGTCCGAACAGCATTAGGGCAGTAGTCCTCTCAATTGGCAATGACTAGGGTTGCAAACGAGCCGAGTCGAGCTTTAGTATGTTTGGATTTGTTTATTAAGATTTTAACGAGCTCGAGTTCGAGCTCGAGCTGAATAAAAATTTAACGAACCGAGCTCGAGCTCGAGCCGAGTTGGCTTAGGCTCGACTCGAGCTCGAGCTTGTCCACAAGCCTTAACGAGCTAAAAAAGTTATAAATTCATATTTGTGTATGACACTAAAGTTACAATTGAAATTTTGATTATACAATTTATACAAATCAATATCTTGCCAAAATAATAATATCTATCCCCAATATTATATAAATATATTATCTATAGTTAGCTATTATCTACATTATTTAAATATATAAATAACATATTTATCCTACTTTTAATAATATATTTATTCTATTATTTAAATAAATGTTAAACAAACAGCTAATGATTTAGTATATTTAGGCTTGCTTATTAAAATTTTAACAAGTTCAAATTCGAACGCAATAAAAATTTAACGAACCAACGATTGACTCTGTCCATTTGCAACCCTAGCTATATGTAAGGACAACATGGACAAATTATTCAATACTCTTAAAGCAAATCCAGATTTTTTCCACAGAAAAAATAAAAAAAATTGGGATAGTAAATAGAGTTTGAGAAGTACTCCAAAGAGCACTAAATAATTTGTCAACAATATGTTAGGGCACTCTAAGACCCTCTTTTCACATCAAAAGAAGAGTAGTGCTATTAGCACTCTATGAATTATTTTGGACCTTTCATTTTTTTGGACCTCACTTATAAATTTTGAAACCCTTAAAATTTCTTTTATCCCCCCAAATAATACCAAAATTATCCTTAAACATTCCACCTATTGAATGCACACCGTACACACCTTCCAAAAAAACCTCCCTTCCAAAAAATCCTAGTAAAACCCACTAAGAAGAAGAAGAAGAATACTGTCTATGTTCATATTAACTATAACATGGTATAACCTTTTGACTAACTGAGAGAGAGAGAGATCTTTATTTTTTGTTTTTTATCTCGTTTGGGGATCAACGGCTCTTGTTTAACATGGTATAGGCTTTTGTTGTGCTCTTGTTTCTACCATAACATATCCTCCCTTTCTTCTCACTATCTATCTTAGGTCTATTGCAGTGTGGGTGGGTGTGCGTGGTGAGAATTGAGGAAGAGCCATAAACAAAACAGAATTGTATTATACCCAAAAATGACGAGTTTCCTTGATGTTCAGACCTGTATTCCCGAACAAATAATTTATGTTCAGACCTATATTTCTGAACTTGAAAATATAAAACTCCTGCGAGAGTTAAAAATTTTAATTGTTAACTCACCATCATCCTAAAATAAATAACAGTACAAATTAAATTTCAAAATGTGATCCGTAAAACAAGTCCGAACCTATAAAAGATGTTCAATTACCTGTATCCGAACAAATAAACAATGTTTAAACTTGTATTCCCAAATTTCAGTCATATATTCAGGAATTCAATCTCAAAATAATGATAAACATATTTTATTATTTTTGCTCTTTTTTTCAAAAAACTTATACTTACAAGGCCAATTTCCTCCAAGCTAAGAACAATATTAAAGCTACGACCCTCCTTTTAATTTTTGTTATTGTATTCCTCTCGTCTTATGGAGTTGTTGCCAAAAAAATTCCACTCATTGTCATTGTAGAGAAGTTTAGATACTCAAATGATTGCCACCGTTTTCGCCAAAATATTGTCGCAAAAATATTTTCAAGATTTTGAGGATAAGAATGTTTTGAAGGTAGAATTTGAAAAAGATAAATGGATGATGATCAAGATGGATACTTTCATAAACCTTAATTCATTATATAGTGAGTATGTAGATTTAATTGTGAGATGATATGTCTCAAAATTAATAATGTCCTTTATAATAATTTTATTTGAGATTATTATTGTAATAAAAAAAATTAAAAATTAAAAAGTCTAAAATAAATTATTTTATGAGATGCTAGTAGCACTCCAAAAGAAAAGGAAAACTTTGGGCAACGTTTTCTGTTTTTTGTGTGCGCGCTGATCGGCAACGAAAAGATTCCTATTAAATAAAAGACAAAGTACAAGAGGACAAGGAATCATCTGAGGCAACAAATGAAAACATAAATCAGAATCAACCCAAAAGAAAGCCAAAACAAGAATTCCAAAACAAAGCGAAAACAAAATTTTCAAACTCAATCATAATTTTAAAACTCACGATTCAAAATACAACTCTATTCTCAAATCAAAATTCTAAAACTCTACCAAACGCTACCTGTCATTCGCATACAACCTTCCAATATTTGGAAATCAAAAAGAGAGGAGCCCCGCTGATAGAGGGGAGGCCCAAAAGGGTGCCAAACTACAAACTCTATCCCACAGGACAGAATCCACATTAGGTACCTAGTCAGTCGTTCCACAATTGGCTATCCTTCTGTCCTAAAAAGACCCAGGTTGATACCAAATCAATGAGCCTGACCACAGCTGCAGGGGCATAATAATAGTTGTATTTGATCATCCATGTGTTTTCAGTGTCCGTTTCAGTATCCATTAGTGCCTCTTCATCTTTTGTTATTAGAAAAACAAATTCATCTAAAAGGAACATGTTGATTTGGAACAAAACCCGACATGTAAGGACAACATGGACAAATTATTCAATACTCTTAAAGCAAATCCAGATTTTTTCCACAGAAAAAATAAAAAAAATTGGGATAGTAAATAGAGTTTGAGAAGTACTCCAAAGAGCACTAAATAATTTGTCAACAATATGTTAGGGCACTCTAAGACCCTCTTTTCACATCAAAAGAAGAGTAGTGCTATTAGCACTCTATGAATTATTTTGGACCTTTCATTTTTTTGGACCTCACTTATAAATTTTGAAACCCTTAAAATTTCTTTTATCCCCCCAAATAATACCAAAATTATCCTTAAACATTCCACCTATTGAATGCACACCGTACACACCTTCCAAAAAAACCTCCCTTCCAAAAAATCCTAGTAAAACCCACTAAGAAGAAGTAGAAGAAGAAGAATACTGTCTATGTTCATATTAACTATAACATGGTATAACCTTTTGACTAACTGAGAGAGAGAGAGATCTTTATTTTTTGTTTTTTATCTCGTTTGGGGATCAACGGCTCTTGTTTAACATGGTATAGCCTTTTGTTGTGCTCTTGTTTCTACCATAACATATCCTCCCTTTCTTCTCACTATCTGTCTTAGGTCTATTGCAGTGTGGGTGGGTGTGCGTGGTGAGAATTGAGGAAGAGCCATAAACAAAACAGAATTGTATTATACCCAAAAATGACGAGTTTCCTTGATGTTCAGACCTGTATTCCCGAACAAATAATTTATGTTCAGACCTATATTTCTGAACTTGAAAATATAAAACTCCTGCGAGAGTTAAAAATTTTAATTGTTAACTCACCATCATCCTAAAATAAATAACAGTACAAATTAATATTATTGAATTTAATTTAATATAAATTTTGAATTTAATATAATATAATATTATTTAATTTAATTTAATATTATTGAATTTAATTTAATATAAATTTTGAATTTAATATAATATAATATTATTTAATTTAATTTAATATTATTGAATTTAATTTAATATAAATTTTGAATTTAATATAATATAATATTATTTAATTTAATTTAATATTATTGAATTTAATTTAATATAAATTTTGAATTTAATATAATATAATATTATTTAATTTAATTTAATATAATATAATATTATGAGGGCAATCTTGGAAATTACTTGTTATATCCCACAATATATTTTGTAAAACAAACATGCATAACATATATCCAATCTTATATATCAAGTCAACAAATATGACTTGGGGATATACTATCCAATACTTATATCCTATTCATTATATATCCTGACTAAATCCCACATCATATTATATCCTCCATTTTATATCCAACGAAACAAACGGGGCCTATACTCCTTTATTACTTGTAAAACAATACTCTCAAAATATCTTTCATATTACTTTAATCTCTAGATTTGCGATCTATTATTTATATCATTTTCTTATCAATTCTACAATTTTTGATTGATTTTGATATGGAAGAGTTGCAAATATATGAAAATTCAAACCCAAGTAAAAATATGTTGGGTGATAGAAAAATAGTAATGAAAATGTTGTTTTTTTCTAGCAATATTTTTTTTCGATTTTAATTCGATAAACCAGTGTTGAATTTATGTATTAAATTCATTTTTTAAAGTTGAATATTTTTAATTTTTTCAGTTACTAAATGTCGAAATATATAATTTCATTCGGCTATGTAGTGCCGAATTAAAAAAATTTCTCGCCCTTTTTCCAGATTACATGCACTGAGAAACTGAGGTTAAAGGGCCCAATGTTTTATTTTAGAGGTTTTCAATAGAAGTTTTTATGGAGGTCTTCCATGGATGGCTTCAAAAAACTCACTTCAAATATTGAAGTAAAAGTTCATGTGAGTGGAAGGTTTTTGGTTTTCAAGTTTTCAAAAAGTGTGTGAAAAGGAGAGGTAAGTGTGTATATAATAATATTTGAATGAAGGATATAATTATAATTTTAGGGGTGGGTGCGGGTCGGTTGCGGCCACGGAACCTCCAATCCGCCATCCGTCCGCCAGATTGGCGGATTGGAGAAAATCAATCCGCATCCGTCCACCAATCCGGCGGATGTGAATTGAGCGGATTGGCGGTTTGGCGGATGGATGCGAATCGGTTTGGCGGTTTGAAATTTTATAAAATTTTAACATAGTTCAACTTGTGCACTCCCTCAAAAAAAAGAAAGTATTACAGTCAATGACTTAAAAAAATATTACAATTACTGCATGCCCCATCCAAAAAAAGAAAGTTTGAAACTTTAGAATATCACAATCATTACATGTCTCATCCACATATTACAATCACAGGATGCCTCATCCACATAAAATATTACAATCTGTGGTTCTTAAAATATAAAAACAATTCAAACCACCAAAACCATAAACAGAGTAATAGTAGAGATTGTATATCTCTATATTGTTACATTTATATATGTTTTTTAAAACAAAAACCAACCAACATATATCTTATTTTTTATTTATTACTTTTAGAATTAGATTTAAAAACCAAAAAATATAGATAAATAATATGTTTATTTTTTTCAATTCAAAAAATATATGCAAGTTGAATTTTTTTTTTCAGCAGAATATTT